TTCAAAAATGTTCGAAAGATACTAGTTGGGAATCATGCTGATTAGTTTTTGGTAAAGATCGGCCGAGGCGTTTTCTTGTAATAAAGCGTTAAAAAAAAATTCGACAATTTTCAGTATTTTTTTTTTGCCGAAGATACCATAGCCTTATAGATCATACTAAAATATTATGGCCCTACGACAAGTTGTTTAATTCATTCGCTCAGCTTATTTCGCACGGTCCGGGAAGAGTTCCGGACTGTCACGTTTAGACCGGAGCGGTTCATTGTCGATGAGTTGCAGACTAGAGTAGTTAGATTATGTGTTATGGAATATGGGGATTTCAAGCCATTCTGAATCGAGACCGAATTTGGAAAAAGTATGTGTGTGTGTGTGTGTGAATAGATTTTTTGCCGTAAATCGACGTTTTCTCAAAAACGGATGTATCGATTTCGAAAATTTAAAAGTCATTCGATGTATCTCAAAGAACACTAGCGTTTATCAATATTTCGCGACGATCAGCCAAGCCGTCTCTTTGTAAATAGCAGAAAAGTGAAAAAAAAAATCGTCCACGTTTTAGCCCCCAAATCTGAATCGATTTTGAAAATTCAAAAATTGTTCGAAAGATACTAGTTGGGAATCGTGCTTATTAGTTTTTGGTAAAGATCAGCCGAGCCGTTTTCTTGTAATAAAGCGTTAAAAAAAATTTCGACAATTTTCAGTATTTTTTTGCCGAAGATACCATAGCCTTATAGATCATACTAAAATATTATGGCCCTACGACAATGTTTGTTTGTTTAATTCATTCGTTCAGCTCATTTCGCACGGTCCGGGAAGAGTTCCGGACTGTCACGTTTAGTCTGGGGCGGTGCTTTGTCGATGAGTTGCAGACTAGTCTAGTTAGATTATGTGTTATGGAAGATGGAGATAACGGCTAGATGTGATCAAGTTAAGCATGCTCGAGTAATATGTGGCTTCCTAATGAAAAGTTCGTTTTCGAGTTTTGGTATACGAGTGTTATGGCCTTGAACAATAACGATAAGTTTATTAACTTAGATTTGCATAATTCGAATTGAAATGGAAACGTCTACTACCGTTATCTCAGAAACAAGCACAGTGTGGTATTTCTTATCAATATTATTTTGAAGTAGAAGATGAAAGATGTGTAACCAGGTTTAAATGTGGAGACGTACATACTAACAAGGTATAAAAGGCCACATTGTCAATTTTATTTTTGAACTTCTCGTAGGGTAGTTATAGTAATGGGCCGAAAATCGAAAATGAAAATGTTTGCATATCTTCACGTTTTGAAGGTTTCTGAACATTTTGGCTTACCTTAGAAATAATGGATGTATGTGTGTGTATATGTATATATGTGTGTGTGCGGATACAAATTTTCGTCGACGATTTTGGGAACACGGATCAACCGATTTGAATAATTAAAAAAAAATCCATTTGTATTGATAAGGAGACGTGCTGATTAGTTTTTGGCGAAGATTTTTAATTACGGTACGGGAAGCTCTAGCAATTTGCCTTAAGGCACGATTTGCCTTCTGACCAATTTGGCACACCTTAGAGAAAATGGATGTATGTGTGCGCGCGTGTGTGTGTGTGTGTGTTCGGATACAAATTTTTGTCAACGATTTCGGGAACACCGATCAACCGATTTGAATAATTCAAAAAACATTCGGTTTGTATTGATAAGGAGACGTGCTGATGAAATTTTTCTCCAAAAAGTCTTTTTTTTTTAATAGAAAGTAAATTTTTGTCAAATTGATAGTTTCTCAAAAATCTAATTTTTTCAGACTAAATTTTTTTCAAAAATGTTAATCTTTTTTAAAAAAAAAAAAATTGGTATGAGAAGTTCCTGCAATTTGCCTTAAGGCACGATGCCATGCACCCCAGTAGTTTTTTACTATAACTTACCTTACCATACGGGAAGTCAATAATATAAAACAACTCCAAATTATTTCTCTAGAAAACTCACTATCTTCAGTGAAAGAACTTAGCAAACAAGCAGTTATGCGGCATAATTGCGTTTATAAGTGGAGTTTATTTGTTTATTGTGGGTTTAATGAATAGCACACATGTTTCGCACGAACTCAGCACGCACCGCCGAAACATAAGAAAACTTGTTATAGCAGACCTCTATTTTAGTCACCTAATTAGAGAACCACGCACTTCCCTTCATATAAATACTGCGGAAACGTAGGCCTATGGGCTGTTCCGAGACATCATCTTGTTTGTTCTTCTTATCTCCACCGCACGGACGTGTTTTTATATTTACCTCTGCAAAAGAGAACTCCTTAGGTTCATCCGTATGTACAACAAATGGAATTTTATACAAACGGTCCAGAGATCTTGTGTACACAGAAGTAAAGGTGGATTTAAGAAAAGTGTAGTTTAATATTATTTTACAACGGAGATGCAGTTAATTTCTATAAACGCGAAACTTGTAGCTGACTTTGAAAATGAATACAATTCCAGAGTAAATGTTTGTTTTATCTAATTCGTTTTTGTTATCAGTATATTGCTTCACCTGTTTGCCAAAGTAGAATAATATTTTTATTGCTTCCAAATTTGTTTACAATATGATTTTTTTATAAAATATAATATTTAGAATGAACGCAATGACAAAAGTGAAACTAGTGGGGCGCATGGTATCTAAATTGGTGGTAAATTGGTGGAACTTTCCGTACCAAATATTATTTTTTTTTCAAGACGATCAACATTTAAAAAAAAATACTTCGAAAAAATTAGATTTTTGAGAAACTATGAATTTGACAAAAAATTACTTTTTTTGAAAAAAAAAATTGATCAATTCTTCATCCTTTATGAAAATTTGATCAATTATTCATCTTGTCAATTCAAGTAAAATGTTTTTGAATTATTAAAATCGGATACTCCGTTCTCTTAAAAACTGAGTTACCGGTTTTGGCACTTTTTGCCTCGTATCTTCGAAACGGCTAGACCTGTCTTCGCCAAAAACTAATCAGCACGTCTCCTTATCAATACAAATCGAATGTTTTTTGAATTATTTAAATCGGTTGATCGGTGTTCCCGAAATCGTCGACGAAAATTTGTATCCACACACACGTACACACACACACATACATCCACTTTTTCTAAGGTATGCCAGAATACTCAGAAACCTTTGAAATGTAAAGATATATATAATTTTTCATTTTCGATTTTTTTTCGATTATTATTAAATAGAGTCCCTTTGAAATTAAAATAAGACCTGGGACTTGTTTACTCACTAACCGTTTAAATTGACCCTATGGGGTAAAAATGACCATATCACAAATTTTTGGAACACATAATAAAAATTTATTCCTACAATGATGGGACTCTTTGATATGTATTGTTGTGATATAATAGGTTTGTGGTATAATTGCTCAAAATCAAATTGCACCTGTGTGCCGTACCCTATTTACTAATTGTGTTTTAATGTAATAAATGCCCACGTGCAATTGAAATAGTATCCCTATTAACTATTACCCTAATATTATAAGATATATTGTATCGAATAATACAATTTTATGCTCACAATTTATTACATCAAAATACAATATCGTTGAATTTTGAATTATTCTTTTTGGGTAATTTATCAAGTTATAAATTGGAATAAAAATTATTGTTTTTTGGTACGGAGAACGGTTTAGTACGGTTTTGAAGAATAACGTACTAAATGTTGAGTTGATATTAATGACTGTATGATAATGTACTTCTTTTCGACTTTTGTTTTATTTAGTTAAAATAAATAATTATTTTTATATGAAAAGATGTTTTTCGCTTGGATTTTATATACCTAATAACCTTTAAAACAATCTTAGTAGTTTAAATCATATGCAGGATATCAATATACAAAAAGAAGCTATAAATCTGTTAAATCCGTGGATTTTTTTTATAATAAATTACTGAGCCTTTACATTATATAATTCAAAGTAATAAAATTTGTTCAATGGAAGGGATCAGGTTAGAAATCAAGTTTATATACAGTGTAATCTTTATAAAAAATGTGACCATAAAATTTTGTATTTCGCATTGGTTAAATAATGTAGCTATTATTTCGTAAAATCCATTTTAAAACAGAAGTGAAATATCTAGTAAAAAGAGACAAACGACAAAATTTAGAAAAATAATAAATAAACATATTTCTATAATTATGAATTCTTATCTATTGAGATGCTGGAAGTCCCGTAACGCCGGACGGCACCTAACGCCGGACACTCTATTCAACACATATTTTATAAGCGAGTATGATTTTTTTAATTTTAAAATACAAGTGAAAGGGGTGCGGGTGCACAAAGGTGCAGGATTACGCGCCTAGGACGGCCACGGCGGGTTTGCCGTTTTAAGCGCAAAATTTAGGCGTCACCTAAATATCAATGGTAGTAATTCTAGTATAATTATGCATTTACATTCGAGTGGTATGCAAAGATAAAAGTAATACTTGGTTGTCATTCGTAAAATGGTAGAATATTGTTAGTTCTTTTAAACAATTTTAGTATGTACCACCAAATGAACGAAAATGTCTGTCCCTTAGCACTAGACACTAAGTCGTCCCTTAATGCCGGACAGTAAACATATTGATATTTTTTTTGAAAATTTACATAATGTGTTCCAATTATTTAATTTTGTTTTGTATGAGTGCTTACGGTCACAACATACCCCCACTTGTCGTATTTCCTAGTCAAGAATAAAAAGCTTATGGTGAATGCACCAGCATCGGTGTGTCCCAGCCAAAAGGGTGGATAAAAAGTGACTTTTTTACAATATCTAAGAATATTCTTCAAACACACATGTGCTGCAGATATTTCTGAGTGTGCCGATGGCTACATATGTGTTCAATGTAGGTTATTTTGAAATGTCCGGTAATAGGTGCCACTTTTTGGTTTAAACAGTATAATTACTGAAAGTCAAACTGAACCTTTGTGCTCCGCCCTAACCTATCAGCCATTTTATATAAATTTACCTGGATGTCGTGAAAGTTTTTCCTATTATTATTCTCTTTTTTTCAGATGCTCCAGTATGTTCTACATCGCCAAATTCCCGCCTAATAGGAGCGTCTCAAGACGAATCTTTGCGGATTCGATGTGACGTGACCTCGGATCCACTGCCCGAAGACTTCGTGTGGCAATTCAACAATAGCGGCGAAAGCCTCGACGTAAGCTCCAGGGCGGCGCGAACACCGCCGGGCGGCACAAGGTCGATTCTCTCGTACAAACCGGCCGGAGAGAGAGACTTCGGCACTCTCAGCTGTTGGGGAAGAAATGCAATAGGGAAGCAGGCGGAACCTTGTGTCTTCCAAGTTGTGCCAGCAGGTAAAATATAATATGCCTATATTAGTGAACAGCTTCTAGTTTTTTTAATCTCTTTATACTATAAACAAATGTTGGTGGGGTTCACTTTGATTAATACATTATTTAGCGGACTTTAAGTGAGAATTATTTCGTCGTCATAAGGGAGTTAATAAGACTATTAACTTTGTGATATATAGTGATATTTAATTATCTTTTGCTAATTTCTCTCAATTATTATAAAGTACAGGTGTTTGTATGCATACATTTATACTCCGTACCCCGAAGGATCCCATGCTAAAGACAGAAGGCTCTGGTCAAATTTTGACCAAATGTGTTAATTTTATAAATACAATAATTTCTAATTATATAGAAAAAGATATTCAATAAAGTTTATTTACTAAATGGACTAATACTTTGAGATTATTTGAAAACTTTGCCAGTTTTATGAGGCACAACTAGTGTAACCGCCTAAAAAAGGTGCTATTTGGGAATTTATATTAAAAAACTACTTCATCAATCATTTCAAAATTTTAGGAATATATTTATACATGTTTTAAGAATACATAGTAAAATTTTTGAAAAAAAAATTAAATATTTTTTAATTTATCGTCGATCTCCAACGGCGCGACAAAAAAAAGACCCTTCACTGCTGCAGTGATTCCGGCCTTCTTCGTGGATAAAATTAAAAAAAAATCTTGTTAAACTAGATAATATTGTCTGTAAAATGAACTACGATAAAAAAAAAGTCAAAAATTGACAAAATGACGGCGTTTTTTAAAAAAAAGTCGAATTTTACCCAAAGTGGTCGTTTTTGGACTGCCAAAATTCGATTTTTGATCCGATCAAAAAATCGATAGTTCATTTTACGTAGAACGATATATAGAATAAGTAAAAAAATGATAGTGATCGGATCAATTGTTTTTGAGTAATTGCTGCAGCAAATTCGGAAAATGCTGTTTCGAGAAAAACGCGTTTAAAGATAAAATGATCGTTATACTATATAGTATACTATATATATACTCTTTAAATGGCTGTAATTCAAAAACTTTTGGTATGTTAATTAAATTAAAATTTTGGTATGTTATTTTTAAAGGTATAACCATATCGAAATATGGAAAAATTGAAAATTAGATTTTTTTTAGATTTTACACTAGTTGTGCCCCTTAGTTCTTTTATAAATTAGTGATAAATGGCGTACTTAGTCACTTACTTAGAAATTAATAAAATTTATTATTAACTTAACCGTAGGGTAAGTTATAGTAATCGCAAAAAATTGAAAATGAAATTTTTTATATATCTTTACGTTTCAGCAGTTTCTGAACATTTTGGCATACCTTAGAAAAAATGGATGTATGTGTGTGTATGTGCGTGTGTGTGTGCGGATAGAAATTTTTGTCGACGATTTCCGGAACACGGTTCAACCGATTTCATTCCCGTTGATAAGGAGACGTGTCGATTTGTTTTTGGCATAGGCAGGTCCAGCCGTTTAGAAGGTACGGGGCAAAAAATGCCACAAACGGTAACTCAGGTTTTGAGAACGGTGTGCCCGATTTTAATAATTCAAAAAGAAAATTACTTGTATTGACAAGATGTACAACTGGTTAAATTTTCATGAAGGCAGGTCTAGCGGTTTCGGAGATCTAGTGAAAAAATTTAAAAAATGCCATTTGGCGGTCAAAAATGATTATTAGACATATGCACATAAAATTTTCAGATATTTTATAGAGATTTTAATAATAAGTATAAATTTTGTTTACATTTCTATGGGTTCCGTACCAATGTTTATCCGTTAGACGGCGACGCGACGCTTACGCGCTTCGATATTTCGTCTCTATGCAGTTCAAGCAGTACGATTGCTTTGAAAAAAAAGTTTAAAACTTCCAAAATATTTCAAAATAAAGAAACCATTTATTTTCAAAGATTTTATTGCAAAAAATTTTTTTTTCACAAATTTATAGTTTCTCAAAAATCTATTTTTTTTCAAATTAAAGTTTTTCAAAAATGTTAATCCTTTTGAAAAAATAATTTTTGGTACAGTAAATTTTAGCAATTTGCCTTAAGGCACGATGCCATGCGCCCCACTAGTTTGATATATAATTTTTTAATATAATTTAGAATATTTTGATTATCTTTTCTATATTGATATCGAATAGGAGAGCTGACGGCTAGTTGTAATGATTGCGAATTAAAGATAGACATATGCCTTGTTGAATCGTCTAAAAATAATTAGATGACTAGATAGTTCATTATTTTGCATAATTATTTTTTAGAATAACAGGCACAGGCAAGTAGTAATGTCAAAAAATGAAAATAATATTTATAATCATTTGTTTTCTGCTTATTGTTAACAAAATTGATATTTTTCAAGAGTAAGTGCAGTACAATTTTCATGTAACATATTTTACATGTGCTCAAATCTTACAAATAATACACAATACCATATCTGCTTTATTTATGTGCAAGCTTCACCACACACCAGACAGAATATCATCCTTCTCATTTAGATTTTGAATCTGAACATAAAATAATTTTTAATTCTGTCCATTTCGTTTTTTCTTTTTGTTGATTTTCCTGTGGCTTTCCGCTTTGCCTTTCATTTATATTTTCTCTCTAATTTGATCAATATTTTTCTTATATTGCATTTGTAAATTTTCTTGATCAGGATTAACTATACATACCGTAGATTTTCTTTTGTGTCTACTATTTGTATTACTTTGCCAACCAAGGCCAAAGTGGTTCATTCTTCAATGACAAAAATATTTTTTTCTTTGATTTGGATCAACTCGAAGTTGGTATGTTCACAATTTTGATTTGATTTAAAAAGCAACAATCTGCTTTACAACCTGGGGCATATTATGAAATGTTACAACTAGCCAAGAATTTGTTACATCTAATCCCATATGTGATTTGTATACATTAATAAATTAAATAACTATTTATCAAATTTAACAATTACAATAATTATTACAAATTATCAAAGATTGCCAAACTTGAAAAAAATCTAGTAGATATTTTAAAAATCAATCCATTTTAATAACACAAACCAAAATCTTATGACAGTACAATTTTATATTGCCTGATATAAATTACGCACCTGCACCCTTCTGTTTACTGATTGGCCTATTCCATTGGCTTTGGGACAGACACTAAAGGAGATAGAAAATATATTAATATCGTTTCGATTCTATTGAAAAACGCTTAGTAATACTTCTGTTAAAATATATAACTAGCTCTTTTCATATAACTTATTTTATATAACTTTAATGTGATAAAAACGGTATTTTCTTAACAAAAAAATCATTTTTCGCAAAATGAGATATTTTCAAAAATGATTGAACTAAAATTTTTGAATAAATACAGAGAAAATTTGTAAAATCGTTTGAAAGCTTTTTTAAAAGGCAAACAAATATTTATAGCTAATTCTTTTCAAAATAATTTTATTTATAATAGTATCTGGTAATCAAATGCTGATTTCACGTAGATTTATTATGATGATATATTCGCATAAATAAACACCGTTCCGGCTATTGTGGTAGAAATCCTTTGTTTAGATACTTTATATAATAAATATTCATTTTATGTTACGAATTTAAAGTATTTATATTGTACAATGTTATTTTATTATTGTATTAAAGCTCGCAAATATAAATAATGCATATTATTTTATATTGATTGCTTTCTACCATAATGAATCTTTCGCAAACTGTAATAAATTGTGCACAATTGGAAAATTACATCAATTTACTCACAATTATAATCACGCATAAATTATAAGATATTGTTTTAATAACAATATTTTATGAGAAAAAGAGTAAATTTATATTGTATGCAAACGAAATATTTTGAATGCATTGCTAGGATATTAAATTTTTCACGTATGTTGAATAGTTATTATTTATAAAATCCAAACATCAATATATATGCGAGACATATATAATAATCCATTAAAGTAATATAAAATATGTGCGGAATGAATAAAACAACGAATGATGTAATACTTAATAATAATCAAATTTTCAGATATATTATATAGGAGAGCTAGGGGCTATTTGTAACAAGCGAAACTGATAAAAGGCGTTTGTCAATAGGATCTGAAACAATGTCTATTTTTTATGTGTATTCATTTATTTTTTTTACTTCTTTGGACATGTAAACCGTCCTGCATAGTATTGTTATGGCTACTATACAAAATAAATATATATATACACTATACATATATACTATACACAATAAACAGAACTGCGCAGGTCTGTCATTTTTGACATGTTATATAAAATTGTACTATTATGAAATTTTGGTTTACGTTATTATTATCGTCTAATTTTAAATTTATTTTTTTATCTAAATATCTTTCAAATTAATTAATCTTTAATAATGTGTAACATTTTTTGTGATTGCTAAATTGTTTAAATTGTTAGCTCGATTAATGCAAAAAATATCACACCTACAGTTAGTTAAAACAAAACCTTGGACTTAGTTGAAAAGAAATATTTCTCAAAAATAAGTAAGGAAAAAAATTCAGGCGCAATGTCGTTTTTGTGTTGTTACCGCTTGCCCGGTGCATGTTACAACTAGCCCCAAACATGGGGTTGGAGAGCTACAAGTTGTAACATCGTACTTTTGCTGGAAAATTAGTTATCGTGAAATAATAAACAAAAGCTGTGGAATTATTTTTCTTGATTTGGTAGAAGTATGGTTAAAGTTTGGTAGAGAAATAGTTAAAAAATTATGTATAAGTATATAAATCAATAAAATTTAAATTATTATTGATATTTTTATAACGTTTCAAGCAAATGCTTACGGATAAAATTTATATCTAAAATTAGCTTACTAAGGTGATAGAACGTGCAGTAATGCTGGATAATATTGATCTTGAACAGAACCATAAAATTGCAGGTGATATTAAAACTTTTATATTCCGTAGAATCGAACAGTTTCACAATTTATTACCCTCTCTATTCTTTATTAACTACTATTTCAAGTTTCATAGTTCTCATGTTGTTATTGCGAGCGCAACTTAT